AAAAAAAAAAAAAAAAAAAATATTGACAGCAGTTCATGAGCCACTAGACTTCTGCATTTTGGGAAAGGTGTATTAATGATTTTCCTGAGAAATGCTTGGCATCCAGGGTGCTTCTGAAATTAAGAGCCTCAAGATGAAATATTTTATTTCTGCGTCTATGCTGTTTCTAAGTATTGCTTAGGGAGAGTAAGGTGGGAGCATCTGTAATGCAGCTGCTGTGCAGACAGATCAGTGCCTCTGCCGTAGACAAAACAGCTGGCACAATTGCTTTAACTTTCTTGTTTATGAAATACGAGGGCTTTATGTTCTGTTTGAAGTGGGAAGATTTTCTTCATTTTTCCTGAGATTTTCAGAAAAATGTTTTCCCAGAGGGCATTTCATAAACTAGGCTGGACAACTCGCTGGCAACCTTTTTATTTCTATGACAGGAAGGAGGTGCTTCTCTTTCTATGCAGCAAGTCTTATTTAGGGATGGCTGGGTTTGTTATGAAAGCATTTTCTATGAATAGTTTTCACAAAGATGTCCTAATATTCTTTGCCAGAGCTTCAAGAATTTGTGAGTAAGTGTGGAGAGAGCAAARTAGTTGCTTTTTAGACGATTTCAAGTTTTATTTTCTTAATTTTTACTAGTTACTAGTTTGAATACTTTTTTCAGCTATTAGATGAGGAGTCAAAGATATATCTGCTCCTAAATCAAGAAAAAAAGTTTTCTAATGAGCTTAATTTAGAATTTATGTTTCCTTGGTCTGCCTTTCTTTGAGGGTTTTTTAAGGCTGTGAAAAGTAAGCACTAAGAAAACAGCCATTTCCTTTTTTTTCTTTTAAATATCAGTTCTGAGCTCTGAAAGGCTTTTTTTAAAAGGCCTTTTTTCTTTTTTTTAAAGCCTTTCAGAGCTCAGAACTAATATTTTTAACTATTGGTATTTACTCGCCCATATCGCTGCCTTAGCTATTTGTTATTTAAACRAAGGCTGACAGCAAAGCTCGGTCTCTAATATGTAAATCCTTGTGGAGAAATAGTGCCAAAAAACTGTGAAAAAATGGGTCCAGGCAGCTGCGTCACAAGGTTTGACCACTTCGGGCTGGGGTGCCAGGAGATTTGAGACAGATGTTTTCAGACATGCCGCATGCCTAAAACATTTCCAGGGGTCGAGCTACAAATAGTGACTTAATAAGTGCAGAAACAGGAAAAGTATGCAGGAGGACACAAGAGTTTATTCACCCCTAGGTGCACAGCCAGCCTCTTTACATTACATCTGCCTGTCAGGGTTGGCTATTTAAGCTGTCATGCCCTTGGTATTGCGCTTTGTCTGACTGTGAATAAAGTGCAGCATTGTGATTACTAATCCCACTCCAGTGACTTGACTTTAAATGTGGTTTTGGAGCGTATCCCGGAGTTCTGTTTGCTAAGCTTCCTACTCCTGTTTCAGAGACACCACTGGAGATCTATGAGAGAGAGCACTGCAGCCTGCCCTCCTCCTGTAGACCTGTCGCCTTTTTCTGCACCCCCCCCTTCTTCTTTAAAAAAAGAAAAGGAGAAGAAAAAAATAAAAAAAAGGAAACAGCAACTTTTTAGAAGGAAATCAATGGATACCAAGGTGATCTGTTTGTTTTTCTTTTTTTCCTTGCCCCCGCTGACAGTGGGAAATCACACGGGCCGCATCAAGGTGGTCTTCACGCCCAGCATCTGCAAAGTGACTTGTACCAAGGGCAACTGTCAGAACAACTGTGAGAAGGGAAATACCACCACCCTCATCAGCGAGAACGGCCACGCTGCCGACACGCTGACAGCCACCAACTTCCGAGTAGGTGAGTACCCTCCAACGGCGTTTGTCCTTAGCTGTCCTCTCCCGACTAACGGAGGGAGGAGATGGTTAGTTATTAATACCAGTTGTGCATCTGTTCCTCTTTGTTTGGAGGGCTGTGCTGAGGAGGGAGCATTGTATGCGGGACGAGCTTGCTGGGATCCTTCTGAAATATTCCCAAAAGTTCCTTTTGTGCCGTAGTGGGGAAAGAATAAACATGTATTTTTCATCTGAGCTTTCAGCTGCAGGGCTGCAGTGTGCTAAGTTGAAGCTTTTGGTAAAATTTGCCCCGTGGAGTTTGTGCTGATAAAYGGGGAAAATGCCAGAATCAGTGTTTTCCCTTTTTATTTCCTGAATCGGTATGAAATGCAGACAAAATCCAGTTAATGGAGTGAAACTGTCTACTGAAATTTGATGCTTAAGATTACAGTCCTATTTAAAAAAACTATTGTGAGTTTACAACTTCGGCGTATTTACTGCTGTGAAGAAATCAGATTTCATATTTGTCATTTTTTGGAACTGAAATAATGTGAAGTCTAACCAAAAGTCTCGAAGCTTGTCATTTCACTGCTAAGGCTTTGCTCAGGAAGAGCACTAACAATCTGCCAGGCTCAACCCTATAACTGGTTGATCARGTTGAAACAAGTCCCGTAGGTTGCCTGGATAACGGATTGGTGTGTTTTAACTGTACCATATATGATGGTGATAGGAACTCGTGTGCAAATACTAGTCCTGTAAGCTAGGAGAGATGCAGCTGTGTGGAGGCAGATGTGCAAACACTTCAATTTTGTTGCTTCACAATATCATGCTGTTAACTGCTCACAGAAAGTATTTGTGCAGTGATTATGAAAATATCCCACTATCTTTTTCTACTAAAAATATTCAAAATTAATTATTTTACTGATGTGCACTTAAAGAATGCCAAATATGAACACTATAATTTTAGTCTTCTCCTAATATAAACACAATGTCAGGCAATGCTGATGCTGGCCAATACTGCCGTTTTCAAAGTGCACTATTTCAGGCTCTGAAGGAGAAAAAAAGCTTCTCTAAATTATTCTTCTCATCCAGACAGACGATACAAAGAGCAGTCCCTTTCTTAGGGCTCCTCCTAACCTGTCAGGCTAGAGATGAAAGCTCCTGAAACGTAAAAGCACCTTAATATTTGTATAATATATGTATAATATATGTGTTTTGGAGTAATAATTATAAAAACAGTGTTTTAAGAGGGCAATATAGCACATATTTTGGTTTTGTCTCTTTTTTTCAGGCATTTTAAAAAAATGATTTTATAAATGTACTTAGCTGTGGTTTTCCATATAAAGAGTAAACAGAAGTATAAAGTGTTAGTTACTATCCAAGTACATTTTACAAAATGTTTTCTGACTGCTGTAAAATGATAGGGTTTTTTTTTCGTCTCTTGACTTTTTTAAATTATGAAATGTTGAGAATGGGCACTCATGTAGTTTGTCTGCTTTGTAGATCTGTGCCGTAACCTGATCTCCTCTCAAATACTTAAACTTAGAGGCTGGTGATTGACCTGTTAAGACCTGTTATGCACCTTCCTTCCTGGCCTCGGGCCATGCCCTTTGTGATTCACCCTGTGCTCTGCTAGAAATACTCRACACGAGCGGTTGATAATTATGTTTGATAAAAAACAGGGGAGCTTTGGCTCCCAAAATGTGGAATAGCAAGTCACTTTGCAAATATAGACATTTTTAGCCTGCTTGTGGCCATCATCTCCACTGTCTTCAGCAGCATTCCCAGCGGCTCGGTGTAGGATCATTTTCACAGAAGAGGAATAGGAAACAAATCTGAACTGTGACTTCCAGGTTCTCCAGTTGCAAATAGAAATACTTGGTGAGCTTTATTTCTTTTTATTCGGAGAGGAGAGACCCCCACTGCCCAGCTAGACACCAGATTCTTTCATTGCCCGCTGTTTTCTGGGAGCTCTTGATTCAGGATTTAAAACATTCCCTGTTTTAACGATTTTTATTTCTCTTCTCCAGATAATGTGTCTCATTAGCTGAGGCTTTCCTGATGAGGATACCTCCTTAAAGCAGACTCATAAAGCAGAAATAGTTCAGATCTTCTAAGATCATTTGTTTTTCTTTTCTTTTTAACATCTGTGTGATATTTTGTTTGCCTCTTTTGCTCTTAAGACCTTATTCTAAACTTGTTTTTTTACTGTTTTTCCAAAATACATCAATTTTTTTCTAATGACCATTTGACATTAAAAAGTGCCACCATAAAACAATGTCGTGTCAGAAACTATATATTTAAAACAGTAGTGAACAGAACTTCTTTGGTATGCTTTTAAAAGTACTTGTTCTTCCTAAAAGCATAAGGGATAAATTCACATGCCCTCTTCGGAAGACTAACTCCTGTTACTAATAATATGCAGCTACTGTGAGTGGGAAATTAGGAAGCTGCTTTAGATAGTTACTGGGTCTAAATGCATTTCTTCAGCACAAGCAGCAGCAATTAAATAAGTTATTTAATTCAGGTTTTTTGACAGCACATTGCAGTTAGCCATCCCTCTGATGTGTTTAGTCCCTGTTTCTAATAATGAATGAAATAAAAAATTATGTTGATCTTTAAAACGCTTTGCTGAGCTTTGTAAACACTTTTTTTCAGAGCGCCTTTGCTGTGATGCCCGTACTAAAGCTGCTAGAGTTTTTCCATGCGTTACTTCAGATTTTTAAATTTGCTCCGCTGGTCATTTCAGCTGAAACTTGGTAGCGGTGAATTCAGACGAGGAGCAATTCTTGGTTTCYTGAAGGTTTTATTAGATATGGATAAGCCATTAAAAACGAAAAACAGCAACCCGAAACAGATTGGGGAGAGCGTTGCTTTTCAGGTAGCTCGGATTTTGCCAGATCTCATAAAGAGCTCCAGCACTTCGACCACAAGTGATGAAAACTTGGTATTTAGAAGGGAAGGATCCCCTTGATGGCCAGTGGGCTCCAGTGAAACTCGGTATTTCACGGTTTCGTTTTGTGAATGAGGTTTGTTGCACAGCTAAGCTAACTGACATCCAGTATTTCCCTGGCTTGGAATGAAAGCATTTAATCTGAGTGGAAACTTCTGCTGAATCGATGATTCTCATTATTCTCTTGGATGGGTGCGTGTGCAGGTTGCGAGGGACTGCAGCTCCGAGAGGCTTGGGTAGCAACGCCTGTGTATGTGCATAGGAAGGGGAGCATATAGAATAACGTTTGAGGGTCCCAGGTCATTCACTGTGGAAGTTACATGCCCAGATTAATTAGTATTTTCCATAGTCTTTAACTTTTCTCCTATTAACATATGCTTTTAATTACAGATTTGCTTTTTTTTCTACAGGATTCCTGTCTCATTCATTGCACAGGAATAACAGAACGTAGTAAGGGAGGCAGTCATTGAATACCGAGGTTTATATCCACTGTTAATTTGCAGCCCAGTGTCTCATTTTAAAGCAGTCCATTCAAAACGTCGTGAATGAGGAGTTAAGAAGAATTACACCCTTTTGAATGGAAATGCAAATATTTCCAGCTAAGTTTTGTGCCTGGTCATTTGGCCGTATCCCTGTCGAACAGCAAATTGCAGCCCTCGGCAGCTGGAGAAGCAGCAGAGTTTAAGGATTAATTTTTTCCCCCAAGATCATAGATGATCGTGGCAGAGGTGGCAATAGAATTATTGCTCTCCTAATCCATTTTATATTACTCTGAAACACTTCTCAATATCTCTCCCTCCTTTTAACATTCCCTTCCCCTTCTTTCTTGGAATCTTCATGATTTTTCTTCCTCCTGCCTTCCCTGCACAGCCACAGTTAGTGATGAGAGATTTTGTGTGTGGGTGTTTCTCTCCTGGGAAGGAGATGGAGATATTTAGGTGTCTTTTATTTTTCCTTTTTTCATTAAATTTAAAGGAAGATCAAAAAGCATTTTTCCCTACAGCTTTACTGATCCCAGTAAAGAATGCGATTTAGTTGTGGAATTGGGAATGATACCAGATTTCTGTGTTGGGGCTTGCAATCCATATGAGTCCTTCTTTCTTGTGATGTTAAAGGAGAATGAGAAGATCAGCTGGTGCTGTGGTGTGGCAGGTGAAAGGCATTTTCATGACAGCTTTGTTCTTTAATAGAATGCCCTATCTAGGAACCAGTCTAGGGAAAGTAGTTTCTCTTAAGGCAGCTATTTTATCAAAAGTTGATTGAATTTTCTTCAACCTTACACGAGCATGGATTTCTACCACCACTTCAGAAGTTAATGTTTCTTCAAACATTTCTTGTCCTGTCAAATGATTGTGGAAACCTCTTGGTGTTGGTTAAAAAATGGCAATGCCCTGTAAGCAAGCCAGTGCTTTTTCAACTGCAGTCCATGTGTGACTGGAGATCCAAGAGCAATAAATGGCATTTAACTTTTTTTTTAAAGGAATTGCTTTAATGCTTAGTGCTGGCGTAACAAATAAATAAAAAAGGACCACCTAATTTCCTTGCCAAGGAACAGGATGTTAAACCACAGCTTTCTCTTGCTGCCATTTGCTGTGCACTCCAGTTGTTGTTTGCCCTACTGCATGCAGGGGCTACCTTTAGTCTGTGACCTCTCCCATTCTTGTCCATGTTGTTGGGTTGATGCTGGGGCATAAGCAGTGCAAAGAGATAATTATTTTAACTAWTAGCAGAGCGAAATAGTGGTGACCTAAAAGCTTGTGTGGTAGGGAAGGCAGATTGAAAGGCCAATGACTTGTAGATGCATTTGTGTAGAGTTGAGAGAATTTTAAAACTTTGCTAGCAGCTTGTGGGAGACGTCAAATGCTTGTGTTTCTCCCTGTTATAATTGCTGCTGTGTTTGCAGAGGTTCAGTAAAGGCAACATTTTGTGTATTTACTGTATTTACAGCAAGTGCTTTGATTGCCTGGTGAATGGTGTCACCCCTGAGGAGATGACCCGTGTCTCATCTATATAAAATGCTATTCCTGTGCCTTCGACTCTGACTTAGGGGGCATAGATGCAGCTTCTCAAAC